TTAAGTATTTAATATATTTTTATATAGTCCTTTAAACAGACAACATCCAGATTATTAACGATTTTTTATTATAAACTTGTCGCATAACATATAAATATAAACAAAAAATAATTTTGATAGTTTTTAAACAAAATTTGAATAATTATTGACAAAAAATGTGTAATATTGGTAGTTATTGATCAAAATTTAGATAATTCATGATCAAAACTATGTAATTTGGGTAACTATTTAACTAAATTTGATCAAGAATTATCAAAATTTTTTTTTTCTATATTTAAATATCACGTGATAATTTTATAATAAAAAATTATTAACAATTTAGACGTTATTTGCTTGAAGGACCATATAAAAATATATATTTAATATTTTAGAAATTAAAATGATATAATTAAAATATTAAAAATTAAAATAAAATAAAATTTATATTTTGAGGATTTATAATATAATTAATTTTTTTACACATCATAGTACAATTGATTCACTATTACTTAGACTTATGTGGAACACGACACCAACACAGTGGTGACTCATCTTTTGGCATGTAGCAAATTTGGTATGCTTTGGCGAGCCAAGACGTAACATGGGTAACATGCTGTGGGGCTGTTGCACAGATTCCTAGGATGTGGGGCCCAGTTAAGTCATTTCCCTCGTGTAGTTCATAAAACGAACACCTCGGCACATTTTTTATTTTTTTTTTGGCAATAGAGCACCCTGCATTATTGGATATGTAAACATTAAAAAACTAATAAATAAAATAATATTTATTAATGGGTCCAAATCAAATAAGTTTTTAAATAAATTAAATTAAGTTTTTAAATTAAATTAAGTTATTATATATTTAAAATTCACAAGTCAAAATAATATAATTACAAATCTTTTTTTTTGGGGAGGAGGAAAAAAAGTGACATTATTTTATCTAAATCTCCAAAAATTTGTAAGTATATAATATTTAAACCCTTCAAATTTAAAATATTATACTTAAAATCACTTATGAACTACGGAATCTATTAAATGATCAAATTATCTCAATTACTTTTGAGCTAGACAGTCTAGGATTGCCCTTTTCACGTGATCAAGGTCTATTAACCTTACGATGTAAGAGCCTCCTCAAAATCACTATTAACATACGATGCCTTATCATCGTTCAAAAGTAACATAAAATTAGTGATTATGGTTGATTATTATTATACACAAGTTAATAATAATTTTTAAGGGATGATTCAGTGATTAAGTTTGACCTCTAAGTAATTTAGTGGTCTAAAGTTCAACATTCCTCAAACCTCTTAAAGTCCCACCCCCTTATTTTTAGGGGACATCTTATAAACCCGCTCAAGTTACGGTACTTAGTATTCAAACTCCAGTGACTGGTCAACGTAAGTTTGAATACTTTATATAATAAAATAAAATAAAATAACTAAAATACAATACCAATAATTAATATAAATATAAAATAAAATTAATGTCAACAACATGTCATAATTTTTCAGTGTAACACTTCATAGTACTTTATACTAGCTTAAAGGAATATAATTGATGCAGCCATACAAGTAATGATAAAAAGAAAAACTAAACATGATTAAATGGGAGACATTCCAAATACACATGATTAATATTTATATCTTGAGCAGTTTAAAAATGTGTGTATATACTTGAAAACAATTACATTAATCATAGAAGTCTTAAGTAAATTTAATTGATATATCTTGGTAACTTCGAGTGATGTCTCAAAAATTGTTCTCTATTTGATTTTTTTTTTTTATCAAAAATATATATATTTTTTTTAAATAAAAAATACTATTAGAGACATGTGCAACCCTATTTCTCTTCTTGTGCACCGGCTTAGAAGAATCTGAATGAACAAAATGTGATTAGTATTCCGTATGAATCCAAATAAAACGCCAATGTCGACTCAAGCTTTAAATAGCTGGGTCTCTTGCTGAATTTACACACTTAGTCTTTTTTTGGCACGTGGCAAATTTGGTTTGCTTTGGCGACACAAGACGTAAGACATTTGCGAGTACTTCAGTTTGTCCAAAACAACGAGTCAGTTCATTATAACTTGAATTTTAAGGTTTGAATTATAAAAATAAAGGTTAATTATTCTTAGATGTCCCTAAAGTATGATATTTATCTTATTTTGATCCCTAATGTTTTAATTACAATTTTTTAATCCCTGAAGTTTTGAATATATTTTTATATAATCTTTCAAGCAGACAACGTCTAAATTGTTAACAAATTTTTATCATAAATTATGATCTTGATCCAAGGTCCAACTCGGATAATGGGCTTGACCCAGCCAAGGCCCATCTCGGGTAATGGGCCAGGCCCAAACATAGCCCAACTCAGATAGTGGCCCCGATTCAAACAAAGTGCAATGGATCCAACCAAAAAGAGATCCAAATCAAGTCAGGCTCACCAAAGCTTTGACAGTCACTCAGATAGTGGCCCCGATTCAGACAAAGTGCAATGGATCCAACCAAAAGAGATCTAAATCAAGTCAGGCTCACCAAAGCTTCGATCGACAGTCACGCCATCCTGGTGTGAAGGAGTCAACGACGCCATCCTAGAATCTCGTCCATGCCATCTTAGAGTGAGGAGGTCTGTCATGCTATCTTGGAACTTGGTCTTAAGGAGATCTCCATGGCTTCTTAGCAACTGTCTCACTTGCTGCGAGGATGACGTTCACTCTACCAAATCAGCATTTCTTTTACTAATAAGATACTTCAATATATTAAGAGGCGTCTATAAATTGTAAGTGCCGCCTACATATGAGGGGCATCTCTCACATTTTGTATGTCGCCTATTACTTACACTTGAACACCTAACACTTTTTGTAGCAATAAAACACTCAGGTTATCGTAGTTCCTCACATTGGAATAAGTCATTTTGACCGAACCACTTAATCGTGTTTTTTTTTTGTGTTGACTCCCTCTTTATTTATTTATTGCATTAATTACTTGACAGGGTGGTGTATAAAATCAATTTGTGAATCATTAATAAATTTGTCACGTAATATCTAAATATGGATAAAAAATAATTTTGATAACTCTTAGACAAAATTTATGTAGCTCTTGACAAAAAAATGTGTAATGTGGATAACTTTTGACCAAAATTTAGAACTCATGATCAAAAATGTATAATTTGGGTAGCTATTTAACCAAAATTTGTATAAAAATTTGATCAACAATTATTCAAATTAATTTTTTTTTCATATTTAAGTATCACGTAACAAGTTTATAATAAAAAAAATGGTTAATTGCACTATAAGTCTCCAAAGTATAGAGTTTGTCTCATTTGAGTTCCCAATATTTCAATTGCATCATTTTAGTCCCTAAAGTATTGAATATGTTTTTATATAGTCCCTCAAGCAAATAGAGTTCAGATTGTTAACGATTTTTTATCATAAATTTATTACGTGATACTTAAATATAGACAAAAAATAATTTAGATAACTATTGATAAAAATTTACTCAAATTTTAGTTAAATAGTTATCTAAATTTCACAGTTTTGATAATGAGTTATCCAAATTTTGGTCAAAGTTATTCATATTACACATTTTTTTTCTCAAGAGTTACCCAAATTTTGTTTAAGAGCTATCAAAATTATTTTTTGTTCATATTTAAGTATTATGTGACAAGTTTATGATAAAATTGCTAGCAATCTAGATGTTGTCTGCTTGAAGAACCATATAAAAACATATTCAATACTTCAGGGATCAAAATAATATAATTGAAATATTGAGGACTAAAATGAGACAAACTTTATACTTTGGGGACCTCCAATATAATTAACCCTAAAAAAAATCGTTAGTAATCTAGATACTTTTTGTTTGCGGGACTATATAAAAATATATTCAATACTTTATGAACTAGAATGATACAATCAAAATTTTAGAGATCAAAATACGACAAATTTTATATTTTAAGGCCATTCAATAAAATCAATTTCTTTCCACGTTGTAGTACAATTGCTTTATTATTACTTAAAATTATCTTCAACACCATACATACACACCTAGGTGATGAGGGCTTATCTTTTGGCATGCAGCGAATTTGGTATGCTTTGGCGAGCCAAGACGTAAGAGCATCTCCAACCATGACTTAAATTTAGACGCAAATTTGAATCTAAATTTGAGTAAAAAACTTGATTTGGTATAGAATACTCTAATGAACAAACTCAAATATTTTAAAAAATTCTCTTATTATCTTAAAATTCATTTTTTTGTGACATTCAAATCATAATATTTGATAAAATAAATGAAACTTTCATCTCTCCACAATTGGGTAATTCAAAAAAAAAAATGAATATGTATACAACAGTACATGAAAATAAAGAAATTATCCTAAAATTCTAAGATTATTCTAATCCCTTATCATTTTTTATAAATTCAGATAAAGAAAAAAAAATAGTTAACATAAACATGGTCTGAAGAACACAAAAACACACGTTTTTAACAAAAATGAAAGATTGAAGAAATAAAATGACAAATTTTTTCAATTATAGGTGCCAAATATTTAAAATTTCAAAAAGAATTGGTGGTCTAAAATTGTACTACTAATAGTGTTTAACATGAAAAAATCAAAGAAAAATTTGATGGATAGGCTTAGGGTTTATATAGGATGAAAGATAGGTGATATTAGGATTTTGAAAAATACAAGAAATTAAGAAAATGAAAGATGAAAAGCAAAAAACTTACCTACAGGCCTTCAAATAATTTGTGAAAGATTCGGTCGTGATCGACGATGGAAGCAGTGTAGTAAAGAAGAGGCAGAAAACAAGTAGTCAAAGAAGTTTTTTAGTTTTAGATAGTTTAAAAAGTTACCGTTAGAAATTTAGTATAAAATTTGAATTTACTTCAATTTGGGTCCAGAATAAGTTTTGTCTTGATTTGGTATAGGTTTAAATCCAAAGTTGAAAAAAAATTTTAGATTATTTTGATTCAAATTTAAATTTAAGTCTATATTTAAGTCAAGGTTAAAGATGCTAAAGATGCTGTAACATGGTTAATGAGCTTCGTTTATGTGGAAAAGGTTGTACCACAGATTCCTACGATGCGGGGGCCAGTTAAGTCATTAGTCTCGTGTAGTTCATGTAACGATCACCACCTGCACAATTTTTTTATTGGCAATAGTGTGTCCGGCACAATTCGATATGTAAACATTAAAAAATTAATAAATAAAATAATATTTATTAATGGATACAAATTAAATAAGTTTTTAAATTAAATTAAATTATTATAAATTTAAAATTCATAAGCCTAAATAATATAAATCCAAATTTAATTAGTCAAGTTCTTAAAATTAAATTGGCTAAGACTTAAATTTATAGGCTCAAATTTAATTTAATAGGGTTTTAAAATTAAATTAATTTTAACTTAAATTTCATAAACTCAAATCAATTAAACTCGTAAATTTATGTGAAAATTAGAACTAAGTATAATATGCGGATCTTTTTCGTCAATAAATCTAGACGCAATCTTTTTAAGTTATTCTATATGTTGGAAAAATTATATTTATACCTCTGAGATTTGTCATTTAATTAATTAGACTCCTGTCATTTAAAATATTATATACAAACTCCTTAAAGTTTATACATGTGTAACACTTAGATTCTTGCCGTCAATGTCCGGTTGGCAATAAATTAAATTCAGGTCTCCTGAAATTTGTAAGTATATAACACTTAAACCCTCAAATTTAAAATATTAAACTTAAATCACTTATAGTCTTATTAGTTACAGAACTAACAAAATCTATTAAATGACCAAATTATCCAATTAGATATCTTTCTATATTGTATCCATTATAGTTTAACCACATGTTTGATTTTTTAGTTTTATTTCAATAGATAGTATAATTTTATATTAATTTATGATTTTTTTGAGAAAAAATTATATTTTTATTTTTGATTTTATTTCAATAAATGACATAATATAATATAAATTTTAGTTGTAAAATTTAAAATATTTGATATTTTATGTTTAATTAAAATATGTTTAGTCTAAATATAATATTTAAAACTTAGTTATTTAAATATTACATGTCTAAAAATTTTAGTTGGTCTGAATATAATTTACTAACAAATAAACTAACAGACATTGATAGAAAGAGTCTAAGTGTTTCGCATGTATAAACTTCAAAAGGTATGTATAAAACATTTCAAATATCAGAGGTTTAAGTGATTAAGTGACAAATTTTAAAAAGTCTGAATATAATTCTCACATTTATTTTTTATCATTCATCTTTCGCTCTCGCGAATCCGTATAGCTTTGATTTCCTGTGAATCAGTACTAAAACTTTGCTATTTCCAGTTCATCAAAAAAAAAAAAAAAAAAAGAAGAAGAAAGAAGAAGAAGAAGAAGAAGAAGGAGGAGGAGGATAGTAAAACCAAAACAAGAGTTCATGGCTGCCCACAACAAGGTCCGCCTACACGCCGGCGAACCACCCTTGTCTAGGACCTAGAGCCGGCCCTATAGTATGAAAATAAAAGAATGGCCTTTAGGTCCATATATGAAAATGACTTCAAATTTAAAAATTAATAATGTAATATAAACTAAAAAAATAAAATTTATTATAATATAACCTAACAAAATAATTAAAAATTTAGGCTGAAAAGTCCACACTACCTCATACGATCACACATATTAAAAGACAAAAAAAGATTAACAAATAAAAAGTGTTAACAAAATTTATCTTTTTTTTTCAATTGAAAGAAGTATAATAAGTATATTTCTTTAGTTACAAAAAAAAAATCAAACCAAACACCAATTAATGTACTTCTTTAAAACTTGTTTTTTTTTTTTTTTTTATCATTTGAACACAAAACACTAATTAAATCATTCATTCTCGTTAAAAAATATATTTTGATAAAGTTCTTATTTGTAATAAAGAAAATATAATAAAAATTTAGGTGAAAGTTATATAAATAATTAAGTAAAATAATCCAAAAGAAATATAACAATGAATTTATTTATAATAAAGTCAATCATCTAATACCACAATTTCTATAAAGAACAAATAGAATAAATAAATAAAATAAAAATATTAATGAAGAAATTAATTTTATTCTTATAAATATTTATGATCAAAAGTCATATTATTAATTAAAAAATAATTACCAATTTCAAATCTCATCAAAAAGTAAAAATAATAAATTTTAAATTAAAAAATTAAATTATTATTAAAAAAATAAAAAAATCTTATTGACTGTCATTTCTTTGAGTCATACCTGCTGGACCTCTGATTAGCCCTCTACGCCGGGCAATACACTGGAAAACACGCCAACGATTGTGAATTGGTCCATTGCGGCGGCGACTACGGCGAGAACATGGGGAAGCAGAAACCAGTGGACCCGTTGGAGGCGGTGAGGCTGTGAGTGAAGGAACACATGTATTATGATCGAAAAACTAATCAGTCCCTTACTAGAGAAATGTGTGGCCATTATACGCAGATAGTGTGGAAAGGGATTGTTCGATTGGGGTGTGCTCGTGTGGAATGCAATAATGGCGATGTTTTTGCAATTTGTTCTTATGACCTGCCGGGGAATTACATCGGCGAGAGGCCTTTTGGCGACAATTATGGATGGTTTAAAAAGTTTTCGAAAGAATTATAGTCAGATTTTTTTAGGTTTTTCATTTAATTACTTAAACCCCTTATATTTAAAGTATTACACACGTACCATCTAAAGTTTATATATGCGTAATATTTGGATCTTTGTCGTTAATATCCATTAGTAAATTATATTCAGACCCCTTGAAATTTATAGATATGTAATACTTAGATCTTTCAAATTAAATGTTATACTTAAACAAAAAATACTCCAATCAAATATAAAATATTTAATATTTTAAATTTTACAACTAAAATTTATGTTTTATCATAACATTTATTAAAATAAAATCAAAAATAAAAATATAATTTATTCTTAAAAAATCATAATTAATATACAATTATACTTTCTATTGGAATTTAATTTGGTCGTATAAACGACCAAATTAAACTATCAAATTATCCCAATTAAGCTAGCGTATATTGTGTCCAATACAATTTGACTATTTGTTTGATTTTTTAGTTTTATTACAATAGATAGTATAATTGTATATTAATTATAATTTTTTTAAAAAAATTAAATTTTTATTTTTGATTTTATTAAATAAATGACATAATAGAACATGAATTTTGGTTATAAAATTCATGTTCTATTATAAATAAGTTAGACCCTTTATTTGATTTTTTTAGTTTTAAAATTTAAAATATCTGATATTCTATCATTTATTAGAGTATTTTTTGTCTAAGGATAATAATTTAAATTTAAGTAGTTTAAATATTATACATCTACATATTTCAAGGGATCTACGTGTAATTTACTAATGGATATACTAACATGCATTTGACGGCAGAGATTTAAATGTTACACACGTACAAATGTTTAGGAGGTCTGTGTGTAATATTTCAATTATTAAGGGGTCTGAATAATTAAGTGGCAAATTTCAGAAATCTGGGTGTAGTTCTTCCAAATGTTTTTTTGAAGCTTGAGAAGAAATGATGGATCTGTTAGGATATTTCATTCATTAATAGTTCTTCTTTCTCAACAAGAGCCACTTTTTTATGATATCTATATATATATATATATATATATATATATATATATATATATATATATATATATCTTTTTTAAATAATTATTGTGGTTTATTAGCATTTGATATTAATTGTGGGTGTTTCATTGCGGTTGTTACTATAATTGTATGACTGTCTAATTCACATTAATATCTAGTTTTGTAGAATTTTGACAGTGAAAATGAAAAATGACAATAAAAATTCACATTATTGTTTAGTTTTGTGAATTTTGAACAGTGACGATGGACTGTGACAATAAAAATTCACTGTCCTAGGTTACTGTTATTGTCTCGCTGTAACTGTCTATTTTGTAATATAACTATTTATGTCATTAAGGATAAATTAGTCTTTATACCTTTTATTGTCCTTTAAGCCCCAAAAAGTACGTGGATGGACTAATTGACCTAAAAGTCCACAAATGTGGACTTACCTCCAATTAACTCTAAATTTATATGACTAGCTCGCTACCTAAGCTCATATAGGGGTATTCAGGTAAAATATCATTATATGGATAACTACTCCAAGCTTTATAAATAGGAGACTTGAGGGAGGCAAGGGGGGAAGCAAAGGCCAAGGAAGAGAAGCCGAGAAGAAGAGGCCAAGGAAGCTCTACCTAAGTCCATCTGAAGAGGAAAAAGGAAGAACAGTAGTGAAACTCTACTCGAACTACCTCCAATTGAAGTCTTGCAAGTCTATATTTAAGGAGAAGTGCACACCGCCAAAGTCCTTCTTTAAAAGATCCTTCAAGTCATCTTCAAGTCTATCCTTACAAAAAATACTAATATCTACCAAAGTTCAACCTAAAAAATTCAAGATCAAGAATCACGCCAACTTGACCCTTGTCTCCATCAAATTCAAATTGAGGGTCGAGAATCATGTCAAACCAACCCTCGACTTTATTGAATTTATAAAATTCACTATAAAATCAAAGATCGAGAAACACACTAATACGACCCCTCATCATCATCAAATTCATTGAAAATCAGATGACAGTGCATATGACAAGCACACTAAAGAGAGTCAACACCATTTTTTCAATCTATTGAAGCAAATCAAACAATTGTAATTTGTCATTATTTTTGGGTTAATTTTACACACGAAATTTGTTGTAACAAATTTCTGGCATGCTGGGTGAGACACTCTATTCCTCTCATCTTTCAACTAAAAGATCTAGCAAGCCTAACGACAATGACAACCAAAGATAACATGGTTCCTAATTGGCCTCCAAAAGGGTTATATTTTCATGAAAGCTCCCAAGCGCAAGAGAAAAGTATCATGTAGTAACTTGAACTAGAATCCAAGGTCGTCTCCTCAAGAAAAGATTTGGAATCCAAGGTAATGAAAAATAAAAAGAAAAGACTCTTTAAAGTTGAGAATTTTGAGAGTTAACTACTAATGAAATTGAAATTCAATAAATTAAAAATCAGATAATTTTTAGAATTTGTCCCACCTATGAATAAGGGTTTCTACCCTAAATCTATAACTCATCTGCTTTCGTATTCAAACTACTACAGACAGATGATTTTTAACTAAAACTTTGAAAGAATTAATATAGTGATTGAAAGATGGTTTATGACAGAAGAATCAATATCCTAAAGGTCGCAGAAAATACCACTAATTATCTGTACCAAAACTAATTGTATACAAATAATTGGGAAGTATGCAAACCAATTAGGTTTTCGAAACATAACCTCTTCAATCAATCACTTAAACGTTAAATCCCTAGTTTAAAGCATACGCCCCTATTTCATAGGTTGGGACTCTTTCCTCAGATTATCCAGAGGAAGATTACTCACTTATGATAATGGACATAACACAAAGCATTAAAGAAAACATAATTGACTTCAGAAAGGTAAATATTGAATTAAAAATGATCGATTTTATTGACAAACTGAATGTAAATAACAAGACTTCAAAAGCAAAGTCAATTAAATGTAAATATTGTTTGAACAAATAATAGAACTGAACTTAAAAGAAGAATAATGCAAAAATATATAAAATAATCCTAATACTCTCTATTGTAAAGAACATGAAAAAATCGAAGAAAAACTCCTAAATATGTTCCAGCGTGTTTGTTTTTTCCTGTATTCCACAAAGGGTCTCTATTTATTTTAGTTGGAATGAAAATCTTCAAATCTTTGGTAAATATCTTCCCCAAAATTATCTCAATCTTTAATTTGTTAAGAATCTCCAAAAGATATGGTGAGATTTGATCTTTAATTGAGCTTCCTGTGAAAATCTATCTCAAACTACTGGTAGAACAGTTAAACCTATTGGTAGAATCTCTGTCTGATAAAATCTCTGAAACTATTGTGGCTTTTTCTACTGGTAAAACATCTTGTAAGACTTCTCTGATAAAAGTACGATAAGTTTTTCTACTAGTAAAACATGTTTAACTGCTGGTAGAACTTTTCTAATGAAAAAGATGGAAACTTTTGTAAGTTTTACTATTGGTAGAACTGTCTTACTAACAGTAGAACCTTCTTTTTTCTGCCTCCCTCTTGCCATTCTATTAATGCTTAAACTCAATCTTTACACCCAATTTACTTGTAATCACAGAAATCAAGGCATAACACGCAAACTATACTAAGTAAAGCAAATTAGTACATTAGCAAACCTGAAATGAATATGTTAAGCTATAAAATAATGCAATGTTAAACTCTTAACAATTCCTCCCACAAACAAGTCAACAAATGAGGTCGAGGAGTCAATCTCCACACTAGAACAAAGGCTGGCAAAACTAAACTCTTGCCACCAACGAGGCATCATTCTAAACAAAGCAAAAGATGAGTTGTTTAAGCAAAAAAGAAGCAACATGTGCATTCTTCTACCAATCTGGAGTAAGAAACAAAAGATTCTTTGGCCGACACACATTCTAGCATGGGCTCAAGGAATGGATGCTATTCTGAAACTTCTCATAAATAGGAAGTGGGGGGATTACTCCTCTGCCTACCTCCAATACACCTATGCTTGTGATGGTTAAAGAGACCTCTTAAATTGAAGATCATTTTCAACAACTCATTACTACAATCAAGATATTGAGCAAAGCTCTTGAAGGTAAAAAGATTCAAATTGCTGCATTTATAAACCAACTTGAATTGTAAGAACCTTCAAAAGAAAAACAACCAAAAAACTCCAAATCCATCTGGTATCATAGCGCTAAAAAATCTAAAGTATTTAGCACATTAATAGAAGTAAGAACAATATGATTGAGTCGTGACACAACATGCCACGTGAGATTCTTCATAGATGTCAGTTGTTGCGCTCTCTATCTAGCACTTTAACATAAGATTGCATATTTGAGCCCAATATGGAGGAGTTTCACAATCTTTATTGGTATGTGCCAAGTTATATAGTTGTTGAATTGACGAGATACAGATGCTGACGGGATACCAACCCTCAAAATTCTAGTAGTTTGATAGAAAAGGTAATCCAAAAACAACATGTAGCCAATTTCATCAAAACCTACAATAGCGCTAGAACCTACAGCGATTTGATGGTGAAACAATTAGTCGATTCTCTCAAAGGCGTTGCATTTGACTAGTTATTGTATAGCTAGAACTGTCCTACCCTAAATTCACATTCATAGGCATGAACTAACTATGAACCATCCAAACCATGAGAACATACTAAAGTAATCATTAAAATAATAAAATCATCCATCAGTTGAATAAAGAACTAAACCAATCCCAATAAACATCAATAACTTCTTAAAATTACATCCCAAAACCAGAATAATATATTGCAACTAATAAAGAAATATTCGTAAACATTGTCTAATAACCGAACTTCATAAATTTAAACTAGAAAGACACTCTCTCGGTCTTGAATTCCCGATCCACTTTTTGATCTATCACCACATCAAAGTCAACCTTCTCATCTAAGGTTATATCTTAAGTCCAAAATCCGAAAAATGTTTATATCATAGGGTAAGCAAACAAGCCCAGTAGAAAAATATTCTCAAACCTAAATAAGGTTTTGAATAATAAAAAA